CAGGCCTGTCGGAGGCAGGGTCCAAGTCCCTAACCACGACAACCACCATTCCCCACAGTCTGTCAGCAGCGGCCTGTCGGGGGCCTTCGGAGAAGACCTGGCAGTTACATCTTCTGTCCAAAGGCCAGCTATTGGCCGGCTCAGCCGGCTTAGCCATCCTCAGCCATTCTCACTTCCTCCTCTCGCATCACCAAGTTCTCAGCTTCATCTTTGGATCTAGTTTAAAGCTCATCTCCAAGAGGTCTCTCCTGATACCTCTGCTCCCCCCGGGCCAGGTTAGGCCCCTCTTGGTAACACCCATCTTAACCACCAGCCTCAGCACAGAACCTGCAAGCTTCTCAAAGGAAGTTGGCGCTCCATGGCCCTTTGTGAGATGGATGGACTGGTCCAGGGCTGGGTGCTTAGATGGCTGGACGGCTGGATGGCTTCTTCGTCACAGTCCTTCCCCAGCACCATTCCCTATCCCTGGCTGCTCCCTAGCAGTCCCCTCCACCCAGCGCTCCAATGCCCCCAGCCCACGTCCTTCCTCTTTTCAGGAACCCATCGGCCATGGGCTTGGGCAGGAATCCCTTTCACCACAGCTGGAAACTGGAACGAGTTGTCCCCGCCTGTCACAGAACTGCAGTGAGGGTCAAATGAAACTGTACACAGCAAGGCACAGAGAGGTTAAATAACTTCACACACACACACACACACACACACACACACACACACACACACACCATTCCTAAGTGGCAGAGCCAGGATTTGGGCCTGGGCAGGCTCACGTCAGAATCTGAGCTCTGCCCACCGTGCACACTGCCTGCGCATGCCTGCCTTTCCCGGGCCTTCACATCGCTCTTACAACCCCATCCGTACTGGTCCCACATGCCCTGCCCTGGAGTATCCCAGGATGGACAGCTGTAGATGGGAGGCTGCAGACCAGATGCTAGTTCTAACTCTACTTTACTGCATAGCCATGCACCATATATGCATAATAAGAGCTGTCATTTCTCAAGCTCTTACTGTGTGAGACACTTTTCTCAATGCATGTGTGCATTAGCTCACTTAAGACCCAGCATCCCTATAGGTAGATGGGGAAACTGAGGCACAGAGATGTCAACTACTTGCCTAAGCTCACACAGCTACCAAATGGCAAGGCCAGGACGAAACCCAGGCGCCACACTCTGGGCCAGCACACTTCCTCCAAACGCTGCCGAAAACCAGTGCAGCATTTCTCCCTGCCTTTGTGCCTCAAATGTCATTTTGAAAAACTTTGCAAAAAGAGGGTTTATGTGAGACCCTAGTGAGTGACATGCAGCCAGCGTGGCTCCCAACACTACGGTCAGGAGGCCCCGGATCTCTCAGGCAAATGACACTCCAGAGAGAGTGAGTTCAGGGCCAGACTGGGGTCGACATAGCAGGAACTGCACCCCAAGAATCCGGGGGCTCACAAGGACCCTTCTGACAAAAGTGTGTGCTTACTCCTGGGCAGGACACCAACTCCAGGAGAGAGAACACTTCATTGTCTGCAGCTGCAAGTGGCCTCAGGGAATAACGTCCAAGCTTTTGTGAGGTCCAGGAAAGTCCAGTGTCCAGCCCGAGGCCACACGGCTTGCTCGGGGCAGGGCCAGGGCTGCACTTAGCCCAGTCCTGCCTCATGGCTCTTTCAGCCCCGCCCTATATGCCCTTTCCCGGTTCCTAAGAGCTGAGCGAGCCTCTCTGAAATTTAGAGCCTGCAGTCCTAACGCCATCAGCGCACCAAAAACCTCGATTAATAGGCATGTAATTATTTTCTAAATAAGCCATACTTGAATATGTAATGGCAAATGGGAGCAATTGCTAGAAAATCAAGTTATGCATAATATATCCCTGTGCTCCTCAGCTAATAAAGTGCTTTTTACTCCTAGAGCTTGTTAACACTATGCACTACAGATACATCACTTGGATGAAAGGTTTACAGCTGTCCCCATTCAGGGACATGTGCACACATAGACAGACATGCATTCATACTGGGGCACAAGGCCTATCTCTTCCAGGCCATGCCTCAACTTACCTCCTGGAAGCCACAGACCCACTCAGTTCTTGGCCCCAGAACAGTTGGGCAGAGTCTCTGGGAAGTCAGGCGCCTCAGAGGTGGGGCCCTGTCCCGCAACAGCCATCCCAGGGACACCCTCCCCTCACATGAGATCTAGGATATGGGGGATCCCACGAGCCAAACAGCAGGTTTAAGAGTAGGGCAGGGACCAGCATTTACTGAGCACTTACTACGTGCCTGGGCACCTGGTCTTTTGACATACATTACCTCTCTCCCTACCCCAGCCATATAAGATGTGTATTTTCTCCCCATATTACAGATCAGGAAACTGAGGCTCAAGAAAGGAAATGTTTTACCCAAGGCTGACCATTTGGTAAATGATGGAGCTGGGATTCGAGCCTAGCCCTGTCTAGTGCCAAAGTCCACTCACTTCCCCCCACCAGGTGCTTCTCAGGACAGAAACAGCCCCTGGGCAAAGTCTCCAGGACCTCCGCGCCCCCTTTCCACAATTGGTGCCATCTATATACTGCCTGCCACACATATATACCCACTGAGGCCCACCCAGGAGGGAGGGAGGTGGCTGGTACATTGCCTTGGGCAACTGGAGGAGAGGACAAGAACCTTGACATGGCCAGGACTGTGTCCACATCTGTCCAGTCCACACGCCCCCAAACTCTGGCTCTCCCTGACAACGGGCATCCAGGCACAACCCCTCTGCCAGCCCACTACCCCCAGCCTCTCCCCATTCCTGTAAGAAAAGTGCCCACTGGGCTGCGCCACAGAGCTGGGGAGGGACAGAGGCTGGGATGGCACAGGAGAGAGGGTAGGAAAAGTAGCAAGTGGAGGGGCTTAGAGAAGCCCAGTGGCAGCATCCACACCGCCCTGGGTTCCCGGCACCTCTCCCAGCTCTTGGTGGGGGGGGGGGGGGGGGGCAAAAAATCAGGGGAGGACTCATGGCTGCCTTTCAACAAATTCCTCCCCTTGTCTTCATTTTCCCCGGGGGAACACTGAGGCTCAAAGGGGGGAAGCACTTTTCCCATGACCCCTCAGCGGGGGGGGGCTGGCCTCCATCCACAGGAGCACATCACCCCTGGAAATCGAACGGGTACCCTCCACACTGGGGGGTCCC